GTACAGCGTAGAATTACTAACTTCATATCATGGCCTTGAACTCTTAAATCTTTCTTCAGTTGGTTTCCTGATGGTGTTCTGGCATGAATACCCTGAAAAAGAAACAAGGTTATATTATATAAAGAAAGAAAGAAAGAAAGAAGAAGAAAACAAACAGACAAACCATTTTCATTCAAACTGTAATTATTCCAGTCATAATTATTTTTAAAATGCCCATTCTCTTGAATTTACATAATACGACACTTAATCATGTAATGCTGGTAACAATGAACAAGTCTATGTGACTACTTTTGATAATGCAACAATTGCATTTGTACATGCAAGCCACTCCATATCTTTAATAAATTCTCAACCAAATAGAAGAAATTGACCAAAAAGATTTGATCTGACTAAAATACACTTGATGTTGATCTCCACTTACTGTTTGAACACGAGGTTTCACATGATCATAAGGTGTGGCACGCTTCCCTTGGGTCTGTAGTTGTTGCTTGGCAACCGTAAGCTTAAAAAATAACCATTGAAAATAATCATAAATCACTGTGAGTTTGAACTTAATACTGGTTGATTTTACAGAAATAACAAAAATATTATACTGTATATATTAACAAAACACATGTTTAAAGGACAGAATAAAGTACATGTTATGATGAATTTGGTAATTGTACTGAAAACTGGTTATGAACTGTACCTTATTTTTCAATCCAACATTCTGCTTTTCTAAATCTACAATTTTAGCTTCCAGATCTGCAATTTTCTCTCTTGTATCCACATTGTTTACAGCAGACACTATTTCAAGGAAATTATAGCAAATATATGAAATCTTAAAAGCAAACAAAGTCACAATATATCTACCTGATTAAATTTGGGAAGTTGATACAGGTTCATGTACATTTCACATCATTTGCACCATGTACATGTAGGGGACCAAGCTGAAGTGTCATGGGAATCTAAGTTTGGCTCAGGACCATACCTATGAATCAAAGCTCTTAAGGGCTGAACACCCTAGCATTTTGAGACCAAAGCTTTCAGACTTTAATTGATTCTTCTGAGAGTGCAAATTTGAATGATGCAACTATATATACAGGGTAACAGAAAATATACTGTTACAATCTAAAGTTATAGGCAAGTAACTGGATAGGTTTGTTGGGAATATTGTATTACCCACTGATAACAGTACCTCCATCTGTGGCTTCCCTTTTCTTGTCATGCACCAATCGCAACAGCTTAGTTGCCATCCTAAGTTCAGAAAAAATGAGTAAAACGAGTAGAAAACTAGCTAATTATAGAAAAAAATTATTTGATGTGACATTTAAATTGAAAATCTATTGCTACTATTGAAGATCTTTTTAGTTAGAAGTTTCTACTAATGTGTTCAGAATATATCAAATACTTTTTGATCTTCTCCTCCTGCTTCCTTGCATATTTCTTTAACTCCTGTAGCAATTAAAAATTTTTGTGTATAAGTATAATGACTGTGAAAGCTCAGTAATTAATATACATTTCATTAAGATCATTCAGCAATGTAAGTAACAATCTGGGACAAAAACTGAATATATGAAAATCATATATGTGAACTGCAGTTTAAGAGATGAATATGAAAGTGATCTTCCTAGTAATGAACACTACTCAAACAGTTACTGTAGTGAAAATAAGGCCTGAAGAAAATAAATTCAGGCCTGTATGGGATTTGAACCCATGGTCTCTGTGATACTGGTTCAGTGCTCTTAACCAACTGAGCTTACAGACTAACTGGGAACTGATCATTATGTAGGTTCAAAATAAACCTGTGATTCATCAATTCATCCTGTAGTAGCCTAAATTTTTTTCCAAGCCTTATTTCCAATGCAACTTAAGTAGTGTTCATTACTCCAAAGATCCCTTTCATATTCATTTCTCAAAACTGCAGTTCATATACATGTAAGTGATGTTAATATATTCACAGTCATTGATTCATTGCTTTACAGGTTTGTTATGAACCAACATAATGATCAGCTCCCAGTTTGCTCATAATGCTCACAGAATGCTGGTCATTTTGCAAACATCTCTAGTCAGTTCACAAACGTGTAGAAGTCAGTTTACAAATGTTATAAACATTTATATGACTTGTGTAGAAGTCAGTTCACATGCTTTGTAGATTTGAGATGTCAACATTTGAGCATACAAACTCTCCAGCTTAAGTAATACAGTCTCGCTCTATTGCAGGATTTGCATGTTGCTTGTATAGTAGCTCTTATCTGCAAATCAATCTACTGATATGAAACAGGTCTTACTGTTGTTGTGTTCTGTCAGGAGGTTTTGCTCTTGGAGGGAAGGTCCACAACTACCAAGACATGGGATAAAATCTGTCCATTTGATTAAATATGAAATATATTTTAGTGAGAAATAAGCTGTGAGATTTCACATCCAATAATTTACGCATACAACAAGTCATTAATGTAGTATTCTGAATTTTATAGTTAAACCCAGGTTGACACGCAAATGTTTATAACATTTGCGAACTGACTTCTAAACATTTGCGAACTGACTTCTACACATTTGCAAATTGACCAGAAACGTTTGCAAAACTACCATTGGTGAAATGACTTGTTGGCAAAACAACTGGTTAGTAGCTCACTTGATAGAGCACTGCACCAGTATCCCAGAGGTCATGGATTCAAGTCCTGTACATGGATTCAAATTCCTGAATTTTTTTTAGACCATAGTTTCACTACTGCTTAAGTAGTGTTCATTACTGCCTAGATAGCTTTCACATTCAATCTTGGACAAAACCCATTGACACAAACTTAAGCTGAAAGTAAAATATAAATGTCATTGCATGCATAAAACCTCTAAACTCCATTATAGTTGAACTTGGTAAGACATGATTGAGCAAAGGAGGGAAGACAAATTCCCAGAACAACCATGAAATAAAAAGTCTTGACTGTTTCTTCCAGCATCTTGTACAAACTAGATGAGGATCTAAATGTTGAACATGTGCAGGTGTAGGTGTAATGATTAGGTACCTATTTTAATTTTCTGGTGCCAAATTCAAAATATGAAGGCATAATTATCTCTAAATCCACCATGTATCAGAGATATACATTGCACATATATACTGCTTATCAAATGTCTCAATCAGAGGAGAAAATAATTCAACAAGAAAAAAGGAACGCGAATTGGGAGTCATACAATGTGTACTCCAGTCTATACCTGATTGTCCTCCTGAAGCCTCAAATATTTGTCTTCAAGCTCCTCTCTGCTTATCTTGGAGATCAACTGACGAGCATAGATCTCGCTGAAATGTCTTCCGTCTACAAGAGCAACGGATCACAAAGTTCTTGAGCTGTTCGTTCCTGCAAATATGTGCCCTAACAGGAAGGCTAAACTTGAACTGCCATACAACAACATCAAGCTGTCAATCATAAGAGGTAAACAAAACTGCAAATTTTTATTTTTGTGCGTTTGCGACATTCAAAAGCTATTAAATTAAACCAATACCTCCATCCTCGGCAACGGAAAACGAGGGAGGTCCGTCCATGGCCGAGGAAACTGGCATACCACGGTCAAAAATTATCAGCTGTAATGATCACGACGAACTCGTTGCTATGTCCCACTTTCTCTGAATGTTTCCGCACATGGCACCCTCACGATGAGACCAAAAGAGTAATCTGTGTATTTTTAGCATGAAATGTTTTCTTTTAGAGCCGTCTAATAAAGTTAAAACACAAAAGCTTCATATTAAACGACTTCTTTTCTCAAATCTGATTTGGGGGCAATCAACAGCCATTTTGAAAATTGTGAAGACAGCGGTCGTACGTCAAAGGTTATGCCCTTTGTTGTCTTCCTCAGTCTTCTCGCAGTCTCTAAGATTCTCGTGCTAAACGTGAAAACGAACCAAGAGCCTAGCTCGGTCAGGATTGCTTTTGTTAAATTAACGTTCTTAACTTTTATAATAGCCTGACGCTAACCTTCGAGTACTTTTCAGACAATCCTCCGAATCGGTCTCCTCAGAAGAGAGAAAATATGAGAGTTCTCGTAGGTGTGCTGACGCAGTTACGTAACATGTACACGGTTCATTTAATTTTGTATCTTTGTCTGCTCATTTACTGTAATAACCAATTGGTACTTACACACCGCCAGTGTAAAAAGGCCTTGGATGACGGACTACAATGTCGTGTTCTGAGATTTCGCCAAGGCATTTGATAGAGTACCACATGTTATTATCCTGCAGAAGCTTTGTAATTCTGGCATCTTTGGTAGTCTGCTAAACTGGTGTAGGGATTACTTGACAGAAAGAGAACAAAGGGTTGTTATGGAGGGATAAAGTTCTACCTGGTCTGTCATTCCTTCTGGTGTACCACAGGGTTCCTTATTAGGGTCATAATTTGTGAATTTCACAAGCGATTTATCTGATGTACCTTTGGTAGGGAGGTCTCCCATTTTCTCCTAGAAAGGTCTTGTTTTGTCATACTACTATCACCTATTGTCTTAAAGCAGTTCAATCCCATTGTTGACTGGAACTATCGTTTGCAGGAGGGGGAACAGGATTTATTGGTAGAGCATTGGTAGAGGCCTTAAAACGGAAAGGACACGAGGTCACCATTATTTCAAGGACTCAGGCACCTGGAAAAATAACTTGGGTAAGAACTTGTGAAAGATACTCATTTCATGGAACTAATCTGAGTTATTTTAGTCTTACCAACTGAGTTGATAATATAAAATGGTAAATTTTAGTTTCTAAAGTTGATTTATTAAGGAATAACAGTTAGAGCATCAGCTCAACACTTTCACTCCCAAGATCTCATTAGTAATTCTGCTTACTGTCTGCCATACAATTCTTATGATATTAGTTCTGAGAATTTGGTATTGAATCAACTAATAATCCCTGAAGTGATGTTTTTCTCTATTCTTGTCACTTGTCTGCTCGATATTGTATTGATTTGGTGAGGAGAAATTCTGTCTTGGTCACTCATGGGAATTGAAACCAAATTATCTTGTAATACCTTCTCTGATGCAGCACCAAATTTTCTTTTATAATTTACTCTCTTTAATTTGAGTTATGTTTTAAGCATATGACGAGGTTTCAGTAGTCTGAGGACACATGTTAAAGGGTCATTCCATATGTGCCTTAGAACATCCATTTAATGTGTTGTCAAATATCCTACAAGCACATACCAAAATTAAATTTTCAGCTATACAGAGGTTGGGAAACTAAAATGGTTACAGTAATTTTTATGTGACTGCTTTGTTTTTAAACAGAGTGAGATTTCAAAATCACCTTTGCCAGAATGCGAGGCTGTAGTAAATCTTGCTGGAGAAAACATTCTTAATCCACTTAAAAGGTGATGATTTTATAATATTGTTTGTAATAAAAGGAAAGCAAGTGCTTAGGGTATTTAGGGGTTTCTGCTGTATCCAGCGAGTCTCCCAAAATGACACCACTCTTATGGGTGGTAGATCCTTGCAACCCAGCTGTGAGCTCCTATTTCAAGCCCCCTGACAACACTAATTAGTTCAGTGGAAGGAAGTCCACTAGATCTCTAGTGGCAGGGTCCCAGAAAAGTACTCTACATAATAAAGTAGGTGTTAATTACACAGTCATTCATGTTTGGTGAATGAAGTTCCTGTCATGTCATATAATTAATTTCATGACTGAACTGTAGAAAATATTAAAATCTTTATTTTGTACTTGTGAACAGGTGGAATGAGGGCTTCTTACAGAAACTGAGAGATAGTCGCATAGAAACAACTAAAACCTTAGCAAGAAAAATATCAGAGGCATCAAATCCTCCAAAAGTGTTTGTCTCCTCTTCTGCTGTAGGTGAGCTCTTTTGAATATAACAACAACTACATTATATATGTTTAAAAACCCACTTGGTTTACCTGAGTGGCAAACATCTCATTCTAAGCTAGTGCTGCAATCCATTTGGTTGGCTTTATAGCCAGATTTTGTTGGGCATGTCATTTAAAGAAAAAAAAATAGAATATTAATTGGACAAAGATTCTTTTCATACTGATCCATGACAGGGGCTACAGATGCATTTTTGATAGTCCAAACATGAAATGTAGTTCTGTTGTCTTCTTAGTTGGGAATTATTAGCCAATCACGTTTTCCACCCCCATATCCAGATGTACTCTTGAGTTAGGGAGAGATGGTGAAAGTGTTGTATGTCTTATGGAAGATAAGCTGGCAAGGAGGCCCTCTTAATAGTATTGGCACTTCAGTGCAAGCATTCTTTTAACCACAAGAAAGTATGAGGCCTCAGGCAACGTCAGGTAGCAAGAAGTCTGCTAGGAGTCTGGCACTGGTAAGTCCCAGACTCCTGGAGAACTTCTCCCCAGCTCTGGTAGGGATGGGGGATAAGTGGTGGGGTAAAGGAACGCATGTCTTGCAACACAAACAACGAGGGTATGCTTGCAAGACTAGAATATTATCCTTTTGCTTTAACCTCATGACTCACTTTATCTATGTTCACTTTGGAGGTATTGTTTGTTTTATATTCAATTTCATCAATAGAAATTTCCTTTCAAGAAGATGCTGAATTTCCTATACAATGCAATTTGATTTGGCCTAATTTCCAGCTGAGCAAGTGTAACTCAAAACGTTAGGTCCTTTTTGTGTCAGACCAATTCCCTCCTAAGATGCCTTCCTATCTTGCATTCAACCTGTTTGCACGTGAAAACCTTGTTAGTAAAATGTATCTCTCCACAAATTTGTCATGATGTAGGATTCATCTCACTCTCCTCACTGAATTACTTAATGAGCACTGTTGTCCCTGAAGGACACCTGACAAAATAGTTCGTTTTTCACTTCAGGTTACTATCCTCCAAGTGATACTAAAGAGTACACTGAAGATTCACCTCCAAGCTCTGCAGATGCACTGACAACACTTTGTGCTGACTGGGAGAACAGTGCTAAGCTTCCTGATGGCTGTGAGACCAGATTGGTCACGTTAAGGATTGGAGTTGTATTAGGCCGTGGTGGAGGCGTCATACAGCAGACAATTTGGCCATTTTGGCTCGGTCTTGGAGGTAAAAAAAAAAATTCGTAGTGGACACAACATTTTATTATTCCACGCATTGTATCGTGCATTGGTTTAGGCATTGTATTATATGGGAAAAATATAACTCCTCCCTCAGAAAATGGAACCAAGATTATTCCTTTTTTCCATCCTTTTATTTCAGGCATACTAGGTAGCGGTAAGCAATATTTCCCTTGGATCCACTTGGATGACATGACGGGAATAATTTTTCACGCCCTGGAGAACGATCACGTGACTGGTGTGTTAAACGCAGTGGCGCCGCAAGTAGTTACAAACGAGAGTTATACGAAAGAGTACGCAGGCGCGCTGTGGAGACCTGCCATTTTTCCGACCCCTTCGTTTGCAATCAATTTTATCTTTGGTCAGGATCGCGGAAAAATACTTTTGGAAGGACAGAAAGTTATTCCTAAACGGACATTAGAGACGGGATACAAGTTCCACTATCCAGAGCTAAAACAAGCGTTGGCAGAAATTGTGAAATAAAAAACTTGTCTGAAGTCTTTTGCACAGCCGTGGTTTGGTCTTGTCGCTTTCTCACGCGTATTACGCGACGAGATCAAACAACGGCTGCGAAGAAGACCAGAGTTTTACGAAAGCACTTATTTCATTATGTGACGGCTGTTACCATTATGGAAAGTCTACTGTTGTTTGATTTTGACGAGTTTAATGAAAGAGAGAACCGTGTTTATATGATTGCGAATTTATGAAACGGTAACTTCTTGTCTCTCTAACATGGTTACATCGTCATGAGAAGAAAAAGGATCTAGAAGCATTTTACGGTTGATGGCTTGAATATGGTCGACACGATATTATTCTAAAGTGACATAATTAACTTAAGAAAGAAATAAACTTTTAATACTTTAACACACTTTGCCTATTTTATTTAATAAACACAGGAATACAAAAGTGCAATTGAAGAAGTGCAATAATATGAAGAAAATGTACCGAAGAAAGAAGAATTTCGTATTCCCTGTAGCTTTCCTCCATCATTTCTTCGTCTCAGTTCAATGCATAAAGTTTAGTCGCGTTTTTTGGTTTCAAGAATCGTCATTTAGATTGGAACCAATCAGGGAAAGACGAAAATAACAGGGCGACGGAAGATGCCGATTATAGAGTGTTTCTAAAGTCGTTTAGCCGGCTGGGGCAAAATCAAACTAAGGTTGAAAAAAGACCATGGACAGGAAACAATTATTTATCTATCGTCGATATCATGATCACTTTTATAATGAGCCCACTGGGCGTCAGCGGACGTGATCCAGTTGTTAGCGATCCACTTGACCCCAGACCACAGCCCACAGCCACCGTGAAGCGAGTACTCATCCATCTCTCCCATCCATCCTGTTTCTTCATCCACAAAATGATTGTACCACATTACCGCCTTGCCTCGTTTTGGTGTTACAACAACGTTGCCATCGTGACAATATTGCATCAAATTGAACTTGTCTACTTTCATAGTGTCGAGGTAAGTCTGTGGAGATGAGATAAGGTAAGTAGTTCCGCGTGAATTAGTGAGTACATCTCTTCTTATATCTCTTCCTCAAAGGGCAAACATC